GACTGAAAATATGAATGCCCATGGGCAATCAGTCTTATGGATGAAATTTATTGGAATACAAATGTTGGTAAGTAAGGACAAAGACCAACTGCTTCTATAGCACTGCATGAGGCCAGTACGGTTTTGAATGACACGCATTCCCAGACTGAACACTCCACAAACATTTCCTAATCCGATTTTAGGTTGACCTTCAAATGCTGAGAAAATAGTCTTTCCATTTTTTTTTTTTTTGTAAATAGCTCGTGATTTGCCCAAGTCCTTTGACATTACAATCTAATTGACCTCATTAGACACGGTAGTGGCCATCACGTGTACGATTTTCCTGTTTCCGTCCGCCCACTCGGCAGCCCGACCGGTCACGACGTCTGCTCCTTGAATCACAAAAGCTCCGCGTCTCCAGGGGAGTACGAAAACAACGGCGGTCACGACTCATACAGATGGAGAAATTGTTCTTGCCGCCGTGAGCCGGAGCGAATGAGAGAGGCGGACATTAAAAATGGATGCCGGCCGATGCACAAAGAACGAAATCCCCCTGCAAACACACCTTGACTACCCACAACGCCCGTCCCCCCTTCCCCCTTTCTCCTGCTGTGCATTGATACATCACAAAGGGGGATTACACAGGTGCAAAAAGGCTGTGTGATCATCTTATTAACGCCTTTTTCATGCTTGTCGGCTCGAAGGGGCCTTGCCATTATTGGAGCATTGTCTTTTATCTCAATTTTTAATTCACATGTTTTGGTAACATAAAAGGGGCAAATTAACATTCTAGAGAGAGAAAAGAACTCCTTTAAGATGTACGCATGAACAAAAAAGCCCTGCATTTCAAATGGTGGCAATTTGAAGATATTGAGTCATTCTTCAGCTGGCCTGGCACGTCTACATCCTAAAATCCAATTTTAATGATTTCCAGTGGTGTTAACGCAGCTGATCAACTATCATCCAGATAAGGTGCAAGACTGGAAAGGGGAACAAATTGAGCCCTTGCAAGGAAATGTAATAATACGCACAATACTCAGATCCCCACACTGTGAGTTCATTCCTGTTTTGGAGCATAATTTACGGAGTTTCCAATTTGACCTTTCATAGGAGGCAAAGCAAACGAAATGAGGTGAAAGTGACCGCAAAAGTGCCTCTTCAGACTTTCACATCACACTTGTTTGCATCGCGCTGCTCCCAGTCCCGATGGCAAATGAGCGTGAGCCGCCGCTCCCTGAAGAGGAGGAAGTGCGCGAGGAGAGCAAGTGTGTATGTCGGGGCGGGGGGGTAAAGTGGGTCAGCTATGTAACCGTCCTCCGCGGGGATGCCGGCAATGGCAAAACACGGCCTCCTCCCAAAGCAATCTGTTAGCATTCAAGGGGAAATTTGTCAATTTGCGGCCCATGCCGAGGCCGAGGCATTGATTGGGGAAGGTGGTGAGGTCTGTTTGGATGCGAGCAAATGAAAGCTGACTGCGTGCGCGCGCGGGGTTGAAGAATCCACCTTCAAAACCTCAATCGTTGTGACGCCTTGAAGGGCTTGTCAGTTGGTCAGGTTTTGGTGCTTTAGGACATGAACAAAGAGGTGGTTGCATGAGGGGGAAGGGCAACGGGGGGGG